GCAGGATTCCAATTTCATTCGACCTCTGAGCCACTGTTTTTCATATGCATTACGCTTGCTCAATTACAAAAGGGCCCGATCATTGGTGTGGTGGTGTGAAAGTTAGCAATAAAACAGAGGAAAATAGCGGCATTTCTTAAAAAACGCAGGTCCTATTTGGCAAAACCTTTTAGGATTAACAAATCGACTAAATCTTTCAGGCTAAATTAATGACATAACTGTCAGAGAATGAATCGTTACTCACGACGCTTTATCTCCCCGGAGTATGCCAGCAGATCTACAGTGGCCCGAAAGACGAACATCTGTTTTTATTTGTTGAATACGTTTCAGTCTTTCCACTTCCCTCGCACGAGCTGTATCCAACTCTCTAATCCGTTCCTATAACGGAAAGAAAAGGTATCGTCACGGCTGAATATTTCGACCTTTTATGCTTTAATGAAAGTAACCCACGAAAAAAACAGCTAACCTCTAAACGTTTTGTTTCTGTTTCAAGCTGCTGTTCCAGTTCACGAGTCATCGACGATGAAATGACTTCTTCCTCCTATGGATACAATTGAAATAACGGTTGGCACTAAAATCGAGTGCAAACGTCCACCGAAAACAAACGATAATTGCATACTTTATATGCCTAGAATAATCTTACACGAACGATACAAAATAGAGTCTCGTTAAAATCTTGGGATAGACAGTGGATCAGAAAGTCTTTAGCTCGGCTTCGAAGCAGTGTCAATAAATAGATCAATTAGTAAAATCTACGAGGACGCTTAGTTTTTGGCTCACGAGAAAAATTACTTGAAAGGGACCAAGTTGCTGAAAAAACAGCATCATCGAGTTGCTGGTAGTTTGCGGATAAAGCGTTAGACTTTCAACGGAGAGCTGATGATGAGGACTGCTGCTTTTCATTTACAAATGCTGATTTCCGGTGAGGAAGGGAGAACGTCCACTGGAAAACTCAACCTTGCAGTTATCATGCTAACTTAGCTGATAGTTGAACATCGAACCAAACCGATGGTATAGAAAATGGATTTGATGTTGTGGGGGGAGTTTTACACCGATGACTTAAAGGCGATGAGGTCATCCGCTAAGTAAATGTCAAGAAAAGGGGAAAACTGAGAACTGCCGGATTAAAAACAACTACTTTCTATCCAGTACATTTTCACCTTGAGATAGCCAATCACTACGCAGTTTTTCTATTCCTATGGGAACTTTGGTTTCTAAACAATGAGCCAGCTGAAAGTAGTCCAATGGAATCCTTGAAGTGACCATCAACTGGAGCACCGATTCGCATAGGGGAGTGAGCTGGGAAACGGATTACGTCACCAAAATACCATCAGATTACCCAGATCTGGACACGACCATCGGGATGCACAGCCTGGGTTCGAACCACGTACATTCCTGTCAGTAAGTTTGCATCTTAACCACTGAGCTACCTTGAGCTCTATATGTTAGTGCCCTCGCACCACGACATTCCGGTCAGTAAGTTTGCATCTTAACCACTGAGCTACCTTGAGCTCTATATGTTAGTGCCCTGATCTTTTTTACTCCTTAATCGTGACTTCAGCTGACTTCTGGATTTTTGTACACCTTCTATACCCTATACCTTATATTTTGTGTCCAGAGGCGTTGTTCTTTTAAAGCAACAGTGACGTTTTCGTTTTGATTGATGTGTATTCTGTCATGAATCGAGGACGGGACTGGATTCAAGGATAATATACTGAGAAGCGATAACTTACACTTTTTCCTTGAAGCTGGAAACTTCGTAATCCACTGTCCTCGGTTCGGCGTTCCAGATGACCCTTATCAGCTGCCCAGTCCTCTGAATGCGTGTTCAGACAGACAAGGCAGAATGACTTCAGATTCATACCTCTCCTATATTTGTTTTGCTTTTCGGTAAAACTGACGTCATGAAACATAAAGTTCCCTCCGAACCACGCTCCTTCTATTTGCTAATAGAACGCTGAACGAATCCTGAACTGAATACTACCATTCGTTGAAGGTTTTGTTCCGTATGACACAGTGGCATATTTAACCCGACCCAAATAACATCAGTCAACCCAATAGGTGTTCACTGACGTAAACTTTAGGACCAATGTTGGATAAAGTAGCTCAGTTTGGTTATGTTTAATTACCAGTACTCACCTAAAACTATGCTGGGTCCCCTTAAGCATTCGAATTGCACAGGCAATGTCTGATTACTTAGATAAACCTTATGGTTCTGCGGCGGTGAAGAATCAGTACTATCACTGATGTTGCTGTCATTGATAATGATGATGATGAGGAAAGTCGGAAAATTCTATCATATGGTCACCGGACACTTGTGTTGTTTCCTATGATTAACCAGAATGCCCTTCGAGGAATCCAATAAGTAACGAGGAACGTACTGCTTCACTTGTCTGTCTTCCGTCCATAGGGCCTGTTTTTTCTGTACACACATTCCACCAGTATCCGGTACCGGAGGTTTCTTTTGTCATCTCGCAGTAATGTTCTTCCCACCTCGTCTTCTTCTCCAATATGTCGGCGTAATATGCCCACTTCTAAAGTGGAACAAGATTTTACAGCGCAAGCGAACGAAAATTAACACTAAGTAAGCTATCATAAAATACACATGACACGATCTCAAATTATGCACGTATAAGTGAGCAGTATATACTCTTTTTGAGAACAGCTCAGAGAAACGGCGGTACGAAATGAGATTTCTAGAGTAAAGGTTGGTTGTTGATAATACTGGCAAGTGAATGGTGTTAGCCAAGACAGCGATCGCATGCACCCCTGGTTTTGCTTTTATTATGTCTATCGTACTGCTATTGAGTGTGGGTTCAATAAATTATGCTGGCCGTTTGAGGCTCATATGCTCGATGCATGATTGTTGACCGTGTGGTTATAATAACAGTAAGACGATTGATATTAGTGATGACCCATATTTCATTCTGGCCAATTTAAAGAAGAAGATGAAGATAGTCCTGTTCACTTATCTCGAGGTTTATCTGCTCTGGAAAATAGCAGCCTCGCGTGATTTTTTTGGTCCTATGAATTTCGAGTACCACTTTCGTTATTATCTTCATCATCATCACCACCACCACCATCACCATCAACATCATCATCATCATGGACAGTACATCAGTGTTCAAAACTGATGCTTCGCTCCGCACAACCATGGTTTATTTAAAAGCTTTATTTTGAAGAAAAGAATTAGAGTGAACGGAGAAGGGAGGATATAACCAGTCTGCCACAATCGTTCTGAGATACCCGCACCTCCACAAACTCATTTGTGAAATGTGAATAAAAATTGACAACAAGAACGCCAGTGACTTCGAGTGGCAGCCATCACTTGCAGCGTCTCCAGCCAGGCACAGTGAGGATCACGTGGTCCTCATCCTGACAGGCAGGTCGCACCGACAGCGCCCACACTTTATATAACTTTTTTCATACCCGTTTGCTAGGTCAAAGGTTGACCACATCTCTGGTTTCGCCATTCCGAATTGGGTACGAAAATCAGTACTCCCTTCAGAAAACAACCATATGGCATGCTCGCTCTTCGATGGGTTGAAAAACTAAACACTATTTGTCTAGCTGCGGAATAGCCGGCATCAGTCTACGCGAGATTTTGTTACCGGACAGCGGCCTTCGAAGACCTGAGGACCCACCTGAGACCCACTTCTGCTGATTGCGGACGCCAGTTTCCAAACATATTTTGCCAGGGTTTCAGGCTTGCACTATATTTGAGATCAACTTTTGATTGTGACACACGGACTGCTGGATGTTTAAAAAAACATGCTGACATGTATTACAGAAGAAGGTATGTCTAATTGAGGAAATACTTAAATATTCGGGCGGGCAACTGGAGTAAGGGATTCACTGCGTGGCCAAGAGTGATTAGGATATTGCTTTGGATCATGTACGTGATAAGCGAAAAGGACTAGATATGGGCGAGGGTCCTTGCAAAAAATATGCTTGCGTGATTTCAAGGCACAGGGTAGCATGTTTGTTTAATCAGTTATATGGGATCAACTTAAAGTTACTGTGAAGGTTTGAAACTCAAGTTTCGATCTTATTGGACGGACTACCAAAAAATACCAGAGGCATAATTTAAAGCCCTAGAAGGATTGAATAATCACACTTAGTACTCGGAGTGATGCGTGGAGGTGGAAACATTTTTACAGTTTCGGATTTTGGCTTCAACCTTGTGGTCCAAACCAAACTATTGGCGGAAAATGCACATGGACATTTCACAACTGGTATGCTTACCGAAATGAAGTGCCCGATCAAACGTGGAGGCATGCCTGGCCTAGTTGACTAGTTCATTGGGCACCACTAAGAATTTATCACCTCAAACTAGCAGTCGAGTTTCGGACAGTGGAACATACTCAAATTGCTTCAGGCATCTCTTGTATGACAAGATCCGCTTCGTAGAGCCCATAACCAATTGTCTTGGTGAGCTCTACTTCTGGATTGAATCGACGGTGTTTGGATGTCTTATTTTCTGTACTTCGGTTTTGGAAAAACTTGTTTCCTAATATACGCTACGCCATCGAGTCACTACGATAACATATGGCTTGTGCTTTAAGGGACCACCGACAGCAAACCAAAAGCTACCAGAATAGATGAACTGTTGTATGCAGCAAGCTTGATGACACAGATGATGTTGAACACCGATGATGTAATGCTGCCGATGATGATGATGATGATGATGATGATGATGAATTATTTCAGAATTTATCAATTTCCTGTCATACATCTGTTTCATTTATCATACCAAAAACGTGTAAACCTCTATATTTTCCACGATTTTTCATTTGCCGCTGACCAAAACTGCATAAATTGCAACCAACGTACACTTAGTACATAGTACCACATAGTACATAAACTGGTTGGTTCATAATTTGAACTGAAATGCGTATTATGCCACAAAACCCTTGAAGAATGGATGTTTTAGCCCTCCTGATGAGTTCTTCTTATTCGGAAAGTTTATTATACACTTTTGTTCATAAGTGATGCGTTTTTAGTCTGAGGTATACCTTCCCTTCCCTATGAAGTCGATATACCTGGTGGGAAACTAGATAGCTAGACCTAACTGGGGTAATTTTGAACATTCTGATTCCATGGAAGTACTGGGAGTTGGAAACGATAGTGTCACCTACCTATTTTTTTGTTTTTGTTGCTAGTTAACTAACTCCTTCACCCATTAGTTTTTACTCCCTAATTGGTGAACAGCGGATTTTCTGTCGGCCACAGACTCTAGCTGAGTCAGAATTCTCGCCGATGCCGAGAATTCTGAGGACGGATATTAAGGTGATGACGATGTTGCCAAAACCAGGCAAACTAGAATATCGTCCGTTTCACGCTGGTAAGCGCTTGCTATTCAAACCTTCCCTTTTGCACTGTTAAGGCTTTAGTTATGGGGAAAATTATAGATAATTATCTGGAGATCAAATAAATGTCTGCCAATAAGAGTGAACGTATTAGTATGCTGTCAATAGCTCAGTCATTTTTCTCACCACTTCAAACATAAAATAACCATCAGTGGCATCATACAAATTAGCAGTTCTTGAGTTGCCTAATGGAAACAAGCTTGTTTGGAGAGGTATTCAATATCAGCTCATAACGTGACAGTTTCTGTATGCCAAAGAATTTTTCAAACGTCTATCAACAACTCGCGGCCGTAAGCTTACCTTCTTTTCAGCTTCTTCAATTCGCTTGTCACCAAAGGATTTTCGCGAAGAATTCCTTAAGTTCATGCTCTGGTTCTCTTTTGTTGAAATTGAGGAGTCTGGAAAATGAAATTCGACTAATCAGAGCCCTCTTTGAGCGGTCGAAGAGAACCACAGAGGAAAATCTTAACGTTGGAACACTGCATAGATAAAAACCGAATTTGTCACTCCATGAATTGTTAAATTTCCTAATGAAAAGATAGGGCACAGAATATGCTTGAACAAATATGCTTATTGAAAAAATGGGTTTAACACCAGCTTCATGTTGATGCTAGTAATGTTTTTATTGGTGTACAGCCATCTGGATTCTTGGCCCCAAGAGGATGTTACTCGTTTTGGATGTGAAATTTGTGAGTGCGCCTATATCAGGTCAGTCCAATTTAGGAGGTTTCTTCGGTCAACAATCCCCTCTTCTTCGTTGGTCTTCTCGGAGAATTTTGGTGTCTTGTTTCTCTTGCTTTCCTGAGTGGGTTTAACGTGAATAGTGTGATGGAATTCCCCCTGACTCAAACGCTCTGGTTCAAATATTGTCGGAGTTAAGCATTTCGAGAGATTGACATTTCGTGGGATTCACAGCTTTCCGTGGGTAAGTAGGATAGTAACTGACCGCATAGTTCAGTCTTGATTTACGAGCTCTTCTTCGTTCCCAAAGTGGCTGTTGTGTCAAAAGCGACGGATCAGAACACCCGCTTATGCTAATTAGCTGTCCATAACTTGAATGAGAACAATACAACCGCAAATGTCGGAACGGACTGCAAGATTTCGGGACTATCCACTATGGACAAGAATTCTTCGCCACGCACTTCTAAACGTGCAAACTTCTTGTATACTAGGGACTTACCTGAGGCGTTACAGTCGTACAGAAGGAGATTACACATGTCTGATTCTGAGGTCGGTCCCACTGGGTCTACCGGAAAAGGGGGGACTTCGGCGCTGGAGTTAAATGATTGATCACCTTCATCCAATTCCATATTCTTTTTCACGTGTGGAGGTTCCGTTTTATTCTCATTGAGATGGTCGGAATTTTCTTCAAAAACGCTTTCCGACATCAAAATCTCCTCGCTTAAATTTTGCATTGCCTACAAGAATAAGATGAGAGTATTGTGAAAAACCATTTGCATTAGTGAAGTTTGCTTTTGTGGTTATAAGATTTGCGCGAATCTAAGACATTTCTGAGAACAAAAGAATATTTTCGTTAGCAAGGAATCATTGGATTATTTTAAAAAATCCCACTTCCGCAGATGTGTGAAGCCATTGATGCCTTGAGTTCACTTAAACTTGAATAATGTTTCATTCGTCCTAAATGGCAATATTGCCGGGATTTTGTACAAAAGCCAAAAAATAAGACAAAATGTTCACATTGAGCGAAACCTGACGTTGCAGTGCACCAATTAAAAGGTTCACTAAAGGTTCGGACAAAACCATTTAGACTCCTCACCAGTTACTATGGTGTATAATGAATGGAACACATGCACACTCACTCAGTCAAACTTCAGCATTTCGTCTTATGGTGTACGCACGAGTTTTTCAACCCCACGTCCACAATGAGCCATATTCACATCATTACAACACAATAGAAGAGTCAAGCTTCATAGCATCGCTCTTTACTTTAGTGTTATACTAGTAGACTAGGATCAGCCAGCAGACAATTAGAACCAAAGGATCAGAACAAGCAGTGAAAAGTGGTCTCGGTATATTTATCACTTTGTTTCTAGTGTGAACTTTCTCTTACTTGAGATTAACTTGGCTATTCATGAATGTCTCAACTCAGCGTAACCCAGATATCACTTACATTTTCATAGTCGTCCATATTTAACCCGACTCTGTCCAGCGCTGCTTTAAGCTGTTTTTCGTAGGAAGAGGGAAGACCTGTCGCATCACCATCGGTTGTGGGAAACACATCGTCTTCCAAGTCCCGTCGGCCCAATTCCTGAAATTTACTCAAAAATTTGTCAAATGTTGACGCCATCTCCGTTATTAACAGATTGGTTGGCTTTGAAGAGGATACCTGCAAAATGATTGTAGGGCACATATTATTATGAAAGTATATAGAAGTCCCCTGTGTACGAATAAAGTTGAACAAATTTCTGAAAATAAATGTGATGGTAGTAACCTGTGCGTAGATTGTATGCTCCAGTCGTCAAAAATCTGCGGATCTCCATAAGTTACGTTCCTATTTATGTAAACAGCCATTATGGTATGCCCCAGAAAACGTAACAAAGCGGGCACGCCTATACCATAAAGTACACAAGCTTTCCTGTGAACGAAATCTTTGTTAAAAGGCTGCAAAGCAATTATGGCATGCATCTGAATATTCAGCCGACTTGACAAACACAATCCTACTGAACTTGGTGAATACTTAGGTTATTCGTACATTGCTTCTTTATTCGTCCACAATGAAATCTATTCGGTATCAAAATGTGACTCCTCTAATTACAGGCTTTAATTTGAACGCCGATTGCTTGTGGTACCACTGCCTACTGATTGGAAAATCCAGGGGCTTTTGAAAAAAAACACATACAGGGTTAGAGGAACTTTGCTGTCCCTTATTCTCCTTGATGCAGGATAAACGGTGCAAAAGCACAAACCAATACGCATTGCACACTGTCCTGTAAATCCAATCCTAAGTAAAAGAGCTACAAAACAAACGAAACTCTTAAAAACGTCACAAATATTTTTCATCCACAATTTTTGGCGCAGAAGCTTTTTAAATCTTCCTGCAGTCTTGAGCTTAGGGTAGGTAGTTTTACGAAGTAAGCTGCATCACATACTAATTCAAATGCAGAAATCGTACGGAACTCTGGAGCTCCGTCTGAGATTGTTTGAACTCAAACAGGGTAGATCCATAATGATACCAACTCAGCAGATTCAGTGGCTGCTCCAGATGTTTGAGTTCATTACTGAGTAAGAAGTACGATGGTCTAAAACCTTCCCCGCAGAAACAGGCAAATCATGATAAGTTAGGACCTACTGCAATTATTTTATTGGATGCTTCCAATTCAGTGTCGCTCACATTTTAGACGCAAATCTTATATAAAAATGCTCCTCAAAAAAGTTATAAGGAAAATGCTCAGTGCGCATTGGACTTACCCCGATAAACAGTAAAACCAAGAGTGACAGACTGCGACTAATATTTCACCACCCAGTGACTTGTGCTTGAACTGCGCTGTCGGTGTAAGCCTACTGTGTGCTCTATTTTTAATCAGAATTCCTTCTAAGCTATGTGGACCAATTCGTCGGTTTTGTACTCTTCTACCGCAGTTTTATGCGTGCTGCAGTCTAACAGCTTTTGGAAAACAATATCGATAGTCATTCTTGAAACAGAACTTCTCGATTGTGGTTTTCTCAAAGTTACTCAAGGCCTGCTACAAGACCGTCCAAAAATACAGGGTAGCTCTAAGAGGAATACCAGACAAAATATTTGAGGGAAGAGAGTAATGTGAATTATAATAATTTCTAGAGCCAGGGAAAGATTACTGGCAAAATACTGAGCAACAACATATGTCAAGACTTAGGGACGAATGAGAAAATTTTTCTCAGCGGAAACGCTGATTAAAATAGTGACAAAAAGTTGAACACAATGATAGGTTGCTATACTATCACGTCATAGTTCACAAGTCTATACTTACTTGAGCGGACAGACACGTAGCCAGGTTGCGGTCACTGTTGTTGGACTCATCCGGTTCTCTTAAAGTGTCCACCGGTGCACCCCCTTTCGGTAGATTTTCGTCTTTTGCAGGTTGAACCGGATGGTACTGCATTTGGTATAGGAGAGAGAGGCTGCAAGGAAACCAGACGCAGTTAGGGTTAAAGGCGAGGAGACAGTGATCACGATAGTTTAATGTGGAGACACTTTATGGCTGTTGATAAGTAAGTAAGCGAATCACGGTAAACGAGAAATTTAGCTGAATTCAGCCGAGTCTCCTGTCAAATCGAAATTCATGTAAAACGTTAGAATGGTTGCCAATATCCATCCAATTCTGGTTCACGTAGAGCATAAAGTTGATGAAAACTTAAGGACCACATGAGCCAAAGAAGAGCAAAACCGGTAGTGAGCTGTCAAAGAGCTTTCAGAAAACTCACGACTAGAGTGTTGCGTCAAGACAAAGCCCTCTCAGCCTTATAAAAGTGCCATTACTGCATCCCATGCATAATTAAACAACGCCTTTCTTAGTGCCTAGATATTTCTTGACTAATTTATCTCCCATTTAGACGGCTCGATTGTGAGAAACAACCTCTTAAACTCTGTGCTAATAAAACTTAGTTGGTTTCCAATGTTTTTGTCAGTGTTTGGTCGAAACATAATAGCTAACACAAACAGAGTGAATATTAGTATAGTATCCTTTAAATGATTTTTATATTTTACTGATAAAACTATACTCGCTTACAGTTTTCAACAAGGAGGCCAAAACGTCACTTGAAGACTTTCATGCTGGATTCAAATTTTGATCTTCGAAACATAGGCTTACTTATGTTAGACATTAGACTAACCGCGTCCTAGTCAGCACTAATCTTCCAAACATATCAGAGGAATATGAAGTAGTTTACTCTTACGTTGACAACCTAGAGGTTTGAAAAGGTGCGATTTGTTCTGGAAAACGTTTGCGCCCTCAGAAAACTTTTAATTTAGTTTCTTTTGTGTCACATGATTTTCATTAATCTCCATATAATTCAGACTCAAATAAAAGCAGATTTATGCGCACACTTTTTCGTTCAAGCCGGTTTACTTTCAGGCGCCTTGTCTTTTGCATGATTACGTTGAGTTCTGCCTTGTTGACCTTAATGTTAGAAGGCTAATTACAAACAGGACATAAACAGTTTCAGCAAAAAATACTTGGTGAGCCCTGTGAAGCTATGAATCACAGAAAATCTACCAAGGATACATTTTTGTCCGCTATTTACAGTGGCCTCAAAACAGAGTTAAAGTCTTTCGGAAATTTAACCATGTGATCTTACCCACTTTCTAACACGTGTTTTCACAGGCAAAGTAATTGCGTTTTGCAGCTTGACCCCGAAAGGGGTTCTGTTGATGTTTAGCTGATCTGCATGATATATTTAAGTCACTATTCCTCAATGGATAGTGGATTGTTCCTTGAAATGTCTTTCCGGTTTGAAAGAATGTGTAAGCCACCAGGATCAAGAGGAGAAAGGGAATTATGTCTTTTAACGGACTAGTAAAAAAAATAAAAAAAAACATTAAGTAAGAAAAGGTACAGCTTTATGTATAGGTCATAGGTATATAGCTCAGTGGCACAGCTTGAGCGAATCCTGCTTTGACCGACGGCTTTTTCAGTACTCTACTTCTAGAAGTACGAGACAGTTTTTTGATGAGTTCATAATGAAACAGCGGAGATTTTGCAGAAAGGGGTCATCATAGAGAACGTCTTTTTGAATTTCAGAATAAAACCTGTTAGAAACAATTAGGAGTGAACGGCTGAAGACTTATAGCCTAATAGATACCTAATAACAAAAAACCTTAATGATTTGCATCACTTTCTTTTTCAGAAGTGGCTTGTTTTTGACTGCACATTCTGTCATAGTTCGTGAAATGACTGAGCAAAGTTAATAGAGTGCGTCCTGTAAATTCGTCTTAGACTGCATGTGGATATGCAAATGACAGCCAAAGTTACCATTAAGCCATGCGAAAACGTTTGATGCTGTCGTCAAATCTATAACAAAAGCACTTAATTCACTGTCAGGACTTTCTGTTTCTAATCACCGTGTATGAAGTTAGTATGGTATTAGAAACGAGGAGTGTTTACCATATTAAGTAAGCTGTACGTGTGTGACATTGCGCAGTATTCGGGCTGAAAACGGGAAGTCATAAGTATAAATAAATCTCTGGGAGACTGAAACCATTAGTGGTGCTTGATTCTTCGGAAGTGTGGTTAACAGACTGTACAAGGAAAAGGAATGTGTTCCAGAAACAAAAGTGACCTAGTGTGGGGGCCAACAATCTGGTTTTCAGAAAAAGCTATATAGTATAGAATTACGTCGAAACAAATAGATATGAAGCAAAATTGATTGTCGTTAACAAACATGAAAGGGTGTAATAACGTTCAAGTACCAAATAAAAATTCGGCAACCTGCTGCATCCTTGTCAAAACTGAGGAGAAATGGGTAACACATTAGAGAGCGGGCATAAACACAAGCACCATCCTCAAAAATATAGCAAGAAGGTTGTGGAGGAAGGTAAGCAGTAACAAAAAAGATGAAGCAAAATAGGATTGTAAACAAAGAACAGAGTCAGAGTCAGAAATCGACCAATTAACATTGCATTGGGTGATTATGTGATGAGCACGCTTAAAAATATATTCATCACTCTATTCACTATTCTCTTGTTCTAATATTCCAAATGTTGTACATACAAGTAAATTCAAATATACACGTGCTACTTGTTGCGCTATGCTGAATGCTGGACTTGTGGTTAGTCCCCGTGTGGAAATCTTCAGATGGTTTGCACTAAGTAAACTGCCTGCAGGTCTACGAACAAAGTTCAATAATCCACCGTCGCACCACAGCAGCAGATGACCTTGCCAGAGATTTTGTTGGATGTCACAAGAATCTTAAAGCCTCTTGATCAGAAGCAGTAATGGAGCTTGTCTATTATTCCGGATGGCTTGCTTTGCTTTGAGAATAGATTAATCGTTCCACCAACTCAGCAAGTTTTAGGGGCTATTTACACTCTGGTCATCTAGGTTTTGATAAAATGAAAGCACTTGAACGCTCGTCATGCTGGTTGCCGGAACTAGATGCTGACATCAAGTATACTGATAAGAATTGTGTTAAAATTGCACATACGATTCATAACAACTCTTCACAGTGGTATCCATGGCTGGTTACATGTGAAACATTTCAACAAGTTCAAGCCAACTACTGCGGTCCTTTTCTCGGTAAATACTACGCCTAAATTGTTATTGACGTGTATTCACGTTGGTCTGAAGTTTTTCTAGCTATGACTCCAAGTGCCGAATTCACACAGCAGGCATTGAGGAAAGTATCCAGCCATAAAGGTGTACCAAATGTTTTGGTCATTGACAACGGTACATATTTTACTGTAAAATTCCTCGAGGAACGGTTGAAGGGTCTCGGATGTCGACATTTGTTTACTGCTACACGATGCCCCCAGTCGAATAAACTTGCTGAGAATTTTGTCTGAACAGTGAAATCTGCTATTACCTCATTCTCTCCTACTTCTCTTGTGGAATTGAACCGCGGAATTGATAATTTTCTTATGCAGTACAGGAATGCCGTTCATTCCGTTACTTGGAAGAATCCCATGTTTTTATTTAAATCTCTCCCTTTGGGTACAAGTCTTGACTGTGCCAAAAGCGTTGATGATACGCTTTTCAAGGTTAATGATTTACAACCTGCTGCAGGAGTATTAGTCTTATCGAATGGCAAACGGATGGTCACAATTCCCGATTTCGGTGATCTTTCTTGTCTTTGGAGACACATTGATCAGAGGTCAGTCTTTTGAAGGCATTCCTGCTATTTCAAATACTAATGAATCCTCTATAGATGATCCGTGGTATCCGAACAAAACGTTATATCTGAAGAACATTCCACCTGCGGAGAACCTGAATTTCCTAATCCGAGAAGATCCGAAAGAATACGATCAAGGCCACCACTGGACTATAAGCATCTACATGCTCATTCAAGGTGTGGTGGATGTGATGAACGTGACCGAAAATCTATTCATTGCCCTATTTATTAGTCCCTTGTTTTAATATTCTAAATGCTCTACATATACGTGGATTAGAATGCATAATTGCTACTTGTTACGCTGTGCTGAATTCTGGATTTCTAGTTCATCTGATCATACAGAATTACGAGCTGGACTCCATTACTGAAGATTCCCAAGTGACATAACACGATAGAGCGACCGATGATTGTCGTGGATATGCTCATTTATACGTTGAAGCATAATAGACAAAATCCCAATTTCGGAGGCTTCAAGCCTCGAGTCATAAAGGTGTTATAAAAGTGGATTACTGGTATTGAAGCATAACATACCACTGAACCAGCCCAACTCTGACTCAACTCCAGTGCCTTAACAAAGATGCGAAAATGGATTACGCTAAATTCTACGGATTTCAAAAGTACGCGACAAGACACCTGCAGAAGTATCAACCCCGGGATTAGCCGCGATTTAGAATTTTCTTGGCATAAACAAAGAGGAAGATGATGACTCAACAAGAGCGGAAGGTGGACCTTCTTCTCGGTTACTAAATGCTAATAGACTCTCAGTCGGGCACCCAATTTCACTCAAACAAGCAGTAATACCGAATTTCAATACTAATCAGACTTTCGTCATCATCATCATCATCATCATCATCATCATCAGCACCACAATCATCATCATCATCATCATCACCATAATCATCATCATCATTATCATCATCATCATCATCATCATCATCATCATCATCATCATCATCATCATCATCATCATCATCATCATCATCATCATGAACAGCATGACATCAGAGTTCAACACCCATGCTTCACTGCCGTACAGAATTTCGTCACATCAACGGTATATTACCCAGCAACAAGCACCAAAAAATTGTAGAAGCACCGCGTCATTACTTAAGAAAGACAGCGAAAAGACATGAAAACGACTATATAGTAGCCCGAAGTAGACACCACATGATGAAATTTCAAGGAAGTTTATATTTTACCTACAGACGCCTTCCTAAAACAACTCATTTATTGTTACAATGTTTCATTTCAAAGTACAAAAATGTGGCGGACGGGG